TGTGCCAAGGGCTATTCCAGTGGTGCCCGAAACATAAAAGGTTTGAGATCATCAACATGTGTCCTGTCCATCTCCTGACGTCCTCCCTCCAGAAGGACTCTAGGTGTATCTTTGTTTTAGCAAAGGGCCCTGTCTCTACTTCCTGATGAGGTGAGAATCTGGTTTTAATATGACCAACATCAGTAAGAAAACAATAAAAACAGTAATGTTCTCAGCTTGAGAAACTGTCCCAGAAATTCCATTCAGTCAAATATGGTTAAAGAGGGGCCTTTCTCCTACATTCATCTCTCATCCTCACAGTGTTGCCTACCATACAAGGATAAACAGAAAAATATTTCAATGTCCCAGAAAAATATTGATATAATTATTGGCATTTTGAGCAAGAACCCCCGTGCATAGGATATGCCTATTTAAGAGTTCACACTGCATTTCCCTCTCCTCATATATATAATATTTCTCATCTCACACTGACATCCTAGTGATGTCAGTGCCATCACAAGTTTTATCTCTCATACTGATTTCACCACCAGCCTTTCTTTACAAAGTTACAACTGTAAGACAGGAAGCCAATATTGAGAGTTTTCCAAAATATGGTAAAACTAAGAACTGGAAGCAAATGAGAACCACTCTGCAGGAAAGCACCCCTCCCAGCGGCCAGGCTAAGCAGAGCCATCATTAATGGTCAACCCCAACTGTGGAAACTCTTTCTCACCAGTTCTGAATCCAGTTCCAGATGTGCCACTGCCTTCTGTTGATGTTGTAGCCTCTGAAGGAAGAAAATGGTGAAGGGTGAGTAATGAGGATTTGTGATATGAGAGAATAATTATGTTGATATTGTATCATTGGAGACATAATGATATTGAGTTTAAATGTGGAGATTTCTTCTTTTGAACATGTCTGTGTGGGGACCCCCATGTATAATGATTGTCCTAGTGAATTCCTGTGTAGGACTTAAAAATGAGAAAGATAACGCCATCAACACACCATTAGCTCCCTCTTCAGTACTGAAGCGGCTGTGTGTCCTTGAATGAACAGAAGACCTATCCTTAGGATCTCTGTTTCTGAGGGAACAATACTGCCCATAACTTTCCACAATGTCCTTCCTTGCCCACCTAAGGATCATTGTTGCTACTGGAGTTCCTTTTGCCAAGATCCTAGTGAAAGAGAAAGGAGGTCTTATGTCACACTCACCTGTTTCACTTCCAGTCCCTGGACTCCCAGGTGTGACAGAGGTGCCTAAAGGAAGAAAAAGGCAGATGATGCTTCATCTTTGTAAAAGTTCGTCATCAATTACCTGAAGGCTTTTGACACTGTAAGGTTTAAAGTAGAAATGTGTGACTCTAATACTCTCCTATGGTGAATTTACTTAGTGATCCTACCTGGCTTGGTTTTCTGTGAACTGCTGCTGGCTCCAGGTGAAAGTGTTGTGGTACCTATTAACACAAGTAGTGTGAGCTTCAAAATAAATACACATTTCATGATTCCACAAATAATTATTAAGCATCTTTTCTGTGTAATAATATTTTAAGCATTTAGATATATCAGTGAACAGAATATTCAACGATCCCTCCCCTAATGTGGCTTACATTCTAGCAACTGGAGACCAACAGTGATCAACAAACGTGATTAACTCAAAGTGACAGATGTTAGTAAAGGCTATAAGAAAATGTACAACCATATATAAAGGTTGGGGCCTTGATAGGCAGGAGCAGGGCCACAGGGTGGCCTAATACCTGCAAATCAAAGAACTAGCTCTGTAGGCCTGGGCCTTGTAATCTAGATGTGGAAATATGAAAATATGGTTTTCAGGCTGATCTAAGTTTGTGACTCTGGCATGCTGTGTTCCCAGAGGAAATACAGGCCCATTTCCTTTGCCCACACTCAAACTCATGTGTTTACTCTACAGACAAACAGGGAGTTGGTTAAAAACCCCTGATATTCAGTTTAAGATAAAACTCACCTCCTACAAGTCCTGCTTGGGTAGTCCCACTTCCTTCTGTGGAAGTAGTGGCCTCTGATAGAGAAAAGAAGGGAAGGAGTAACACTACGTGGTGGGAAATCACACACTTGGCTATTGTCAGAATAGATCATACAAGCTACCAATGTCACATTTTTACTGTATTTTCAGATTTGCCTGTGACATATCTTCCTTGTTCAAGAGGTTTTCCAGAGACTTTTCCAGTATTACTTACAAGAAGAAAATAGTGGTGATCCTAGCTCAATTTTTTTTCTCATCCAGTGATTTAAATAAAAATCTACATCTTCATGTAATAGCAAACTACAACCCTGTCACTTTTACTGCCAAGAAGTCATCCAAAGTGCCCCATGAAACATTTTTTTTTCTATAACTATTTTACTGAGTTCTCAATTATCATGTCTCTTTTCATGGAGGGAACATAGAAATCTCTCTATATATACTACCTATTTATTGGTCATTGATTAGACTCATGGTTGTCTACTGAAGGTCCTTGGAAGATCAGGCAATAAGGAGGCAATGTAATGTCCAGCTGATCTTTTAAAAATCTGAATTTTCCCAACAAAACATATATAAATAGTGTAGAAAATTTTTGGGAGATTGCTTTAAGAAGGTTGTTATGAAATGTAGGTGCTAGCTCAGCACCACTCCCCTGTGTCTATTAAAATTCTAGTTGTGCCACTTTGAATGTCGTGGCCACAGGGGAAATAGGGTGGAAAAGCAGTAATTAAAGAATATTTCAGGATCTCTGAAAATACATGGTGGTAGTCCCACAATGAATAATATCAGTGCAGACAACTAACCTGTGAGAGGGCATGAGAAAATCCTATGTCACCCTGTTGCCTCCCCTATGTTGGAAGTTCCAGGAGCAAGAGCTGTGTCAAGGGCTATTCCAGTAAAGCCCGATACACAAAAGGTTTGAGATCTTCAACATGTGTCCTGTCCATCTCCTGACGTCCTCCCTCCAGAAGGGCTCCAGGTATATCTTTGTTATAGCAAAGGGCCCTGTCTCTACTTCCTGATGAGGCGAGAATCTGTTTTTGCTATGACCAATATCAGTAAGAAAGCAATAAAACAGTAACATTCTCAGCCTGAGAAACTGTCCCAGAAATCCATTCAGTCAAATATGGTTAAAGAGGGGCCTTTCTCCTAAATAGGGGTTCATGTCTCATCCTCACAGGGTGCCTACCCTGCAAGGATAACCAGAAAAGTAGTTCAAAGTCCCAGAAAAATATTGATATCATTATTGGCATTTTGAGCAATAACCCCTTTGTATAGGATATGCCTGTTTGAGTTCACATTGCTTTTCAATTTCCTCAGATATATAATATTTCTCATCTCACACTGACATCCTAGTGATGTCTGTGCCATCACAAGTTAAATCTCTCATACTGATTTTACCACCAGCCTTTCCTTACATAGTTACACCTGTAAGACTGGAAGCTAATATTGAGAGTTTTCCAAAGTATTGTAAATCTAAGAACTGGAAGCAAATGACAACCATTCTGCAGGAAAGCACCTCTCCCAGCAGTTAGGCTAAGAAGAGCTATCATTAATGGTAAACCCCGAACTGCAGAAACTCTTCTCACCAGTTCTGAATCCAGTTCCAGATGTGCCACTACCTTCTGTTGATGTTGTAGTAGCTGAAGTAAGAAAATGGTGAAGGGTGAGGAGTGAGGATTTGAGGTATGAGAGAATTATGTTGATATTGTATCAGTGGAGACACAATGATATTGGGTTTAAATATGGAGATTTCTTCTTGTGATCCTATCTGTGTGGGGACCCCGAGATATAATGATTGCCCTAGTGAATTCCTGTGTAGCACCTAAAATGATTGCCCTAGTGAATTAATGTGTAGCACCTAAAAATGACAAAGATAAAGCCATCAACACAGCATTAGCTCCCTCTTTGGTACTGAAGCAGCTGTGTGTCCTTGAATGACCAGAAGACCTTTCCTTAGGATCTCTGTTTCAGAAGGCCATGAACTGTCAATGACTTTCCACATTTTTTTCTCCTGACCACCTATATAACATTGTTGCTACTGGAGTTCTCTTTCTCATAGGTCCCAGTAGAGTGAAAGGAGTCCTTATGTCACCCTCACCTGTCTCAGTTCCAGTCCCAGGACTCCCTGGTGCAACAGAGGTACCTAAAAGGGAAAGAAGGGCCCATTGTGTTTTAATCTTCGTAACAGTTATTTATCAATTATCTGAGGGTTCCTGACATTCCAAGGTTTATAGTAGAACTTTGTGACTCTAATACTCTCATATGGTGAATTTACTTAGTGTCCCTACCTGGCTTGGTTTTCTGTGAACTGCTGCTGGCTCCAGGTGAAAGTGTTGTGGTACCTATTAACACAAGTAGAGTGACCTCAAAATAAATACTCATTTCATGATTCCACAAATAATTATTAAGCATCTTTTCTGTGTAATAATATTTTAAGCTTTTAGATATATCAGTGAACAGAATATTCAAAGATCCCTCCCCTAACGTACCTTACATTATAGCAACTGGAGATCAACATGATCAACAAACATGGTAAGTCAAAGTGACAGATGTTAGTAAAGACTATAAGAAAATGTTCAACCATATATAAAGGCTGGGGCCTTGATAGGCAGGAGCAGGGCCACAGGGTGGCCTCATACCTGTCAATGAAAGAACTAGCTCTGTAGGCCTGGGCCTTGCAATTTAGATGGGGAAATATGAGAATATTGTTTTCAGGCATATGTAAGTTTGTGTCTCTGGCATGCTGTGTTCCTAGAGGAAATACAGGCCCATTTCCTTTGCCAACCTTCCCTCTCAAGTGTTTACTCTACCACACAAGAGGGATTTGATTGAAAAAGCCAGAGAATCAGTTTAAAATAAAACTCACCTCCTACAAGTCCTGCTTGGGTAGTCCCACTTCCTTCCGTGGAAGTAGTGGCCTCTGATAGAGAAAAGAAGGGAAGGAGTAAGACTAGGTGGTGGGAAAGCACACACTTGGCTATTGTCAGAATAGATCTTACAAGCCGCCAATGTCAAGTTTTTACTTTATTTTCAGATTTGCCTATGACATATCTTCCTTGTTCAAGAGATTTTCCAGAGACTTTATCAGTATTACTTACAAGAAGAAAATAGTGGTGGTCCTAGCTCAATTGTTTTTTCACCACATGATTTAAATAAAAATTTACATCTTCATGTAATACCAAACTATAACCCTGTGACTTTTAGTGATAAGAATTCATCCTTATATGACTCACGTAACATTTTTTTTCTGTAACCATTTTACTGAGTTCTCAGTTATCATGTCTCTTTATAGCGAGAAGAGAGAAATATCTCTTTATACTACCGATTTATTTGTCATTGCTTAGACTCATGGTTTTCTACTAAAGGCCCTTGTAGGCTCAGGCAATAAGGTATCAATAAAAAGTCTAGCTTATCTTTTAAAAACCTGAACTTATATATATAGTGTTGAAAATTTTTGGAAGATTGCTTTAAGCAGGCTATCATGAAATGTAGGTGTTAGCTTAGCAGCATTCCCCTGTGTCTATTCCAATTCTAGTTGTGCCACTTTGAATGTTGTGGCCACTGGGGGAAATAGGGTGGAAAAGAGATAATGAAAGAATGTTCCAGGATCACTGAAAATACATGGTGGTAGTCCCACAATGAATAATATCAGTGCAGACAACTAACCTGTGAGAGGGCATGAGAAAATCCTATGTCACCCTGTTGCCTCCCTTATGTTGGAAGTGCCAGGAGCAACAGCTGTGCCAAGGGCTATTCCAGTGGTGCCCGAAACATAAAAGGTTTAGGATCTTCAACATGTGTCCTGTCCATCTCCTGATGTCCTCCCTCCAGAAGGGCTCTAGGTGTATCTTTGTTATAGCAAAGGGCCCTGTCTCTACTTCCTGATGAGGTGAGAATCTGGTTTTAATATGACCGACATCAGTAAGAAAGCAATAAAAACAGTAATGTTCTCAGCATGAGAAACTGATCCAGAAATCCAGTTAGTCAAATATGGTTAAAGAGGGGCCTTTCTCCTACATTCATCCCTAATACTCACAGTGGTGCCTACCATACAAGGATAAACAGGAAAATATTTCAATGTCCCAGAAAAATATTGTTTTAATTATTGGCATTTTGAGTGAGAAGCCCTGTGCATAGGATATGCCTGTTTAAGAGTTCACATTGCTTTTCCCTCTTCTCATACATATAATATTTCTCATCTCACACTGACATCCTA